TATAATATTAAAATATAATAATTAAAATCAATTAGAGGAAGTCCTAAATACCTATAACACCACCCAATGGCAATAGATGAATCCCAAATAAAATTGGCAAAGTGAAAAAAAAAACTACCAACTAGATCAGTGGATATACAATCGCTTATTATTTGAATGATTCCTAATCGTATATAGGATCAATCTAAATTTTGATGAATTTTATGCTGATCGTATGTACTATTATAAATCATATACATAACATTAGTTTTGTACCAATTAACTCTCCTCGAAGTGACAAATACTCCAAATAGCTTAGTGAAATTAACTCATAATCATTAGTTGCCCTAAAATGATCATGGAAGAAAAAAAAATGTAAATTATTAGATATACAACATAAGGTTTGTAATTGTTGATGTGTTTAATATGGTGACCCATATTCTTATGTTTAGGAAATGCCTAAGCTTAATTATTTTGTGTAGTTGTTAGAGTTTCTTAGAGTTTTTGTGAGAAGGTTTTAATGAATTGAGTATTTGACTTTTACATTTGCTTTCTTATTTATCCAAGTAGTTAAAACTAACAGCTTGAACTCGTGATCTTAAAGAAATAACTCTTTCTTATAACTAGTGGGCCACATATAATTTTACTATCATATTTCTTATTGATATGAATTATTTAGTTTGTTGAATGAGGGACTGTTAAAAATTATATCAAAATTTTAATAGTGATATATCATCAAAAAATTATCTTGATCAGACACGAATATCGAGGCAAAATTAGGTTGAAAGCTTCAAAAATTAAATTTGGGACCATCTAAACTCTGATTTCAGAGAACTTACAGTCGAACTGAAAGTCTCGGAAATACGAACCCAACGACACCAAATTTAACTCAATCCGAGCCCAAAATGGTTTAAATCAAAAACTTGAAGCACATTTGGAAGGTTCAATCCATAATTTGGGTTACCAAAAAGTTTTGAAATATGACATGCTTAAAGACAAATCGAGTGGCTCGACAAGACGAATCCAACGAGCCTAAGATCGTCAAATTATGATATCATTAGAGCTTTCAAATGCCCGATAAACTATCCACGATCAAGGGATTTAATATCGGCCGTCCATTCAAATCACTCCCAATTTACCCACGATCTTCCTCCCATTTATTGGCCATGCCATCCCCAGAAAACTATAAATAGCCCCTTATTTCTCTTAAGAGGGGACCCAAGTAAGAAGAAGAGAAGAAAAGAAGAGGAGGGAAGAAACTCCTCCTCAACCAACGCTGGACTCCCGCTCGACTTTCAAGTGACATCGGAGTTCCGCCGGACTTTCAAGTGACACTGGAGTTCCGCCCGAAGTCCAAGTGACGCCGGAGTTCCGTCCGACCATCAAGTGACGCTGAAGTTTCTCCCGACTTTTAAGTGTCGCTGGAGTTCCGTCAAACTTTCAAGTGGCACTGGAGTTCCATCAAGTAACACTAGAACTCTCTCCGACAAACAACGAACACCAGCATTGTGATACCCGTGTGCAACTGAATTTCAACCCGGGAGTTGATTATTGTAATCTAATAGTCCTAAACTTTAAGGACAAGTTAGCATCTTGTAATTCAAACAAACACTAGTGGAATTCTTTCAACTGTGTATGACCTCGTGGTTTTTCCCTTTCCAGTGCTTTCCACGAAAAAAAATCTTATGTTTCTTATTCTTTTTCTGTTTGTTGTGAAATATCTATTACAATGCTGAGATGAAAAATTCTAACTTTTCGCCGCATATATTCTAGCCCGCAAACAAATATTTCATTATAGTAGGAAAAATATTTACATTTCGAGTTTATTAATGGAAATTGTATCAAAATGAGCATTACAAAATATATTATATAATATATATATATATATATATATATATATATTATATATATATATATATATAATAAATATATAATAATATATATATATCAGTCATAGTTAAAATAAAATTGAAAATTTAGATTCAATGAGATTATTTTTTTGTTCAGGATCAAATACCCATTTTTTCAATTGTTTAAGTATCCCCAACTTTCTTTTTCCCCAAGGTTTTTGATCCTGCCAATCTCTCGGAGAAGTTGCTAGAAACAAAAATTAGAGGCGAGCAATCCAAACAAAAAAACACGCATAGAGGAACCATCAGCAATCAAATAAGTGGTTATGGAGAGTAGAGGGAGAGGGTGATCACGAATGAGGGGGAAGATTGCTAACTTGTTGCTTTAACAGTCACTTAACTCGTTAATTTTTTTGTTAAGAACATATTGATATATATTTGTACTGTTATTTTTGTAGTCTTTTGTGTACTTTTGATAGGTTTCATATTTGTGCTTCCCATGAATGAAGATTATTTTTTGACGAATCACTAAATTCTAAGGGGTCTGTTTTGGTAGCACCCAAGATTTCATTAAATAGGATTTCATAAAATCCTCAAAATTTCAGATTTAGAAAATATCTAGCGGGTTTAAATTCTGAAAACTATTGGTAACAATTCAGATAAATTCTGTTAAATCCTTTGTTACTGTTTGGCTGTTCAATTCAGAATTTAAGTAGTTAAAAGAGTTGAATTACATTATTAGGATAATTAAACTAAGACATGAGAAGTTATTATAAAACATAAAACAAAAAATTTTAATTAATACTAATTAATATCTAAATTCTAATACTAATTAATTTATTAAATTATTATTTAAATAATACTTTTACAATAATTTTTTTATTTAAAATTATATTTAATCAATTAATTATTTTGAAATAACTAAGTAATTTAAACTAATAAATTTAAAATATTTTATTAGTTTCACTTAATTATTGATACGTTCATTATGAAATTATTCTTGATCGGGCACGAATTGAGGCAAAAACCCAACCGGAAACTTTCAAAATTAAATTCGGGAGCACCTGAACTCCGATTTCAGCAAGCTTACAGTCAAACTGAGCGTCTCCGAAATACGAACCCAATGACACCAAATTCAACCCAATCCGAGCCCAAATGGGTCCAAATCAAAGACCCGAAGCGCTGTAGGAAGGTTTAAACCACAATTTGAGTTACCAAACGGTCTCCGATTTTTAACAAGCTTATACTCGAATCGAACAGCTCGACGATACGAATCCAACGAGCCCAAGATCGCCAAATTCCGACATAACTAAGGCCTTCAAATATCCAATGAACGGTCCACGATCAAGAGATTCAATATCGGCCGTTCATTCAAACCACTCCCGATTCGCCCTTGATCTCTCATCTATTTACGGGTCATGCCACTCCATAAAATCTATAAATAGAGCCCTCAATTCTCATGAAAGGGGGCCGAAGTAAGAAGAAGCAAGAAGAAGAAGAGAAGGGGAAGGAGAATCAACTCCTCGACCACCGCCGGAGTTCGTCCTGCCGCCCGAACACGTCGAGATTTTGCGTGATATTCGGGAGAACGTCGAAACTCCGCCCAAGTGAAGCCGGAGTTCTCCTCTTCCACCAACAGATGTCGGACTTCTACCCGACGTCATATCTTCACTCTTTGCCAAGTTTATACCCGATGTCGGACTTCTACCAGTTATCGAACTTCGTTGGACGTCTATGCGAAGATGGATTTCTTTCCTTTGTTGGACTTCTACCTTACGTCGTCCGTCGACTACAATCCTTCCGACCTCCGTCGCCAACCAACTACGGTCCTCCTGACTTACGTCGCCCACCGACTACAAGCCTTCCGACCTCCGTCGCCCGTCGACTATGGTCTTTCCGACCAAACGAACACGTCAACAATGACTCTTTGTATTAACATCATGTAATGTACTCCATAAGATGTACATCAAGTTAAGGCCTTCCCCTAAGAAAGGACCTCATTTGTAATCAATTACAATACTAGTGGATTCATTCAAACTGGGCTAGGCCCCGTGGTATTTTCCCCTTTTCAGGGGTTTTCCACGTAAAAACATTGGTGTCTCATGTGAATGATACACGCTCTCTTATCTGATTGGGTGCCGGATTTTCGTTCAACGCTAAGACGTTAAATCTTATATTTCTCTACCGCCGCGAATACTCCTGGACGCAACAATTATTAATATTTTAATATCAAACAATTAGAGGAGTCTAGGTTTTACTTTTCCCTTCTCTATTTCGTTCGGCTTCGTCCTTTCGCGCATGTGTAGAGTTTCACTAGTTCTTCGTCGCTGTTCGACTTTGCTCATTCGACGACGTTCCCTTCCTGTTGGATCGGAGGTAACCACATTTTTTTTTGATCGGAAGCAACAACGAGAGCTTGCTTGCTGTGAAGGTAACTTTCTCATTTTCGCGCGCTTCTTCGGCCAAACCCCGTAAATCCGGCGAACCAAAGTATTTCGTAAATCCGGGATTTACTACGAAAAGAGGGAATTTTCCGTCAACCGCGGCTTTGATTTACCGTGAGATTTGGTTTTGCATTTTTAGCCGTTTGGCTGGATTTAGCTCAAACCCGCTACAAATCCGGCCTAAATCCTGCATCCTAACAGCCCCTAATCATGGCATATATTGTGATATTGGATTCATTCATCCTGTCCTGACCTTGTTTGATCCTATTTCTCTATTTGCTGCTATCAAAGAGTGTATTTGAGCCCTCTGTTGCAACAACTATTCTGTCGCTTGCAAGGCTATAACAACCAAAATTTAATATAGAATACTCAGAAATAAGCAAGAATTATCATACCGATTAATCTTGAACTTGGATGCTTGAACTGTGAGCACATGAATTTGTTTAACAAATTGGACAAGTTTGAAGATGAGAAAACCTAACTTATAGATAATTTCCATTTCAAATACCCCGCGAGGCAGTCAAAAAGAAAGAATAAATATAGAAAATGTCGAGTTCCATAAAAGTGCTTCTCCTCTTAAACTCGAAATTGACAGTGTTGTTAGAGACATATTTTTTCATTTTCCCTGCAGCTCTTTAAGCTCTAACATCTTTATGATAAGAAAAAAGTTATCATACTTCCCAAGCAAGAGAGATGAGGGTCTGCTAGTGGAAAAGTTCTGCTGAGATAGAAATAAAAAATCAATCATTGCAAACAAACCTAAAAAATATATAAAAAGGCCCTTGCCTTCTACATGCTAGAAAATTAACTTTATATTGTGCCAAAACTATATTATTTATATATACAGGGAATAGGAATATTGGTCTTAATACGAGGAATTAGAATTAAACATGATCATATACTACGAAGCTTTTTAAAATTGGATTTCAGTCCATGCTATCCGCTGAGCATCCATGAAGGCAGTAAACCTTTGCCTAGTCTTAACTCGCCTTGTGTCGCTTCCTCTGCATTGTATCTTGTTTGGCAATTTCTACATCAGCCAAGAAAATCATTGAATTCATTCCATTTTATCATAGTGTAAACTTTTCTAACATTTATGATACAATCAAGTTCTGTAGCGTACCTGCTGGTGGGAGTAGCGATAGAATCTGAAATCATGACATGGTGTGGTGAGGAGTTATATGGGGCCCGATTTTGCTGTTCCCAAGCTGCATTCTGTGCCAGAGCTTTGGCTTTCGCTTTAGCTATAATCTGTTTATGAGATGAGACTTGACGGGCCAAATTTCAAAGAAATGTTGGAATAGTGTAAGAGCCAATGTACAACATATGAACAGCTCACCTCCTCCATATTCTTCTTCTGTTCCTTCAACATTTTCTCCTGTAATAGATACTCGAACACAGTGGCCATATTAGAGATATATATTTGATTTTTTTTATCTCTTCAAATTAGTTCTAATTAATCTTGAACTTCTAATTGAACTATGCAGGATATGGAGTTAGAAGTTTTGTTGAAATTAATGCCTCATTTCTAAAAAAAATCTTCCTGAAATAATTATTCTACATATCTTGACCTTTATTTTAGCTGTTTTGATTTGGATTTTGAATGTCTAAAATTGGAATTTCAAAAATATTTAGTCACCTCCTCATATATGATATCCCTTCTCTTTATCCTCTTAATTTTTTTATCTTCCTCTCTAATCACCTTTCCTTCATCCTAACATTGTAAAATCTCTTGGCCAAATTGTTTTTTCATTAGGCTTGCATTGCCAAGCTATAGCATAAAGAAATGTTGCTTGGAGAAGGAAGCTATGACAAGATTGCAATTGTTAAGGTTGATTATAGATGACACATTGAAATCACCTAGTAGAAAATAAGAATGACTTGTTAAAGCACCTTTATGGTTCCATCATAGGATTAGACCCCATCAAGAATGAGTGAATATATTTATTTAAAATTTTAGAACAATAATTTTATTTACGCTCTATGGTGTTTGTTCTAGGACTAGAACCTTGTATTGCATGATTTGTTCAAACCCCAAATTTTTATGTTTTGTTAAATAGAAATTTATTTGATTTACTTATATTAGATTATTGATGTTGTTATTGTATGAATGTTATCAAGTATTATTATGTAGGACAATTTGGCTTGTTATGATTGCCTTGTTGGATATATTATATGCAAATGTATAAGTTGAATTATATTTAATTGCAAACGTGTAGTATGTATAAGTTCCATTTTTTGTTTGGTTTTTATTTGGGAAATCTTGATATGTAGACTAGCAACAAATTTGACATAGATTTACATGAGCATTGATTGAGTTTACAAAATTTGCAACAAAACTACAATGAATTAGAGACAATCCTATACTTCTGTGATGGTTTCCAACACACATCTGTCACATATATTTTATTTCATAATAAAATGATAGATAGTATCATAATGCATTCACGCATTTGTCTCAAACAAGGGATAACATTATTTCCTTGCAAAGTAGTTGCAATAGTTGTAACAAAGATTCATCATATAATTGAGATTATAGTTTTTTCAGCATTTTTTTGCGATAGATTGTTAGCTATGAAAATCTCATCAAAAATACATATTTTTGATAAATTTAAGTTGTTTTATGAAGTAAATTATTCGTCACAAATCAACAAAAATGTTATAGTGTTGGGCAAAATCATATAACTATTTTTTTCTTACATATTTTATGTTAAATCTATTTTGTGAACTTATTTTGGACTTCTATAGTGATTTTGCATTTCTCAATACTCTCACATTTATGATTTGGGACTAATTTGTAGAGAGATTGAAAAAATTCAAGCACCCACCTTCTCTTTTAGTTGTGTCATAGTTATCATGATGGAGCATTGGGAGCAAGCTGTTGAAATCTCTATTGTTGTAGCACCTGAGACCTAGAGAGACTCCAGATTAAATGCAAAAAGGTATAATTAACTATCCCATAAAGGACACTCCTCCTTGCTTTCCTATTTCTAATAGAAGGGTTTTTGTACCCAATTGGATGCTTGGCCTGAAATTTTAAACAATGATAAATAACCAAGTAAAACTTTATTTCGCATCACTATATGGCTCCCCTAATAAAAATTCCGCCTAGAAAACTTGATGCCAAGGTCCAAGTAGTGAAGATTGTTAAGGCATTGGTCAATGAAGACAGAAGATCCATACTTCTATGGCTTTTCATAAGCCTAAGTCATTGAAGAAGCCAAAGGAACCAAAGTGCCCAATAATTAGTGGTTCTTTAAGAAATTAGCTAAAGCATTACCAAATCCTCAAGTATCCTTTGACAACTGGATCTTCAATGATGATGATCAAAGACAACACATTTGCTTTCATTGTTGACATAAACAAATAAAAAGAATTACGGTAATTAAAAAGATGTATGACATTCAAATGAAGAAACTCAACACTTTGATCAAGCTTGATGGCTCAAGAAGATTTACGTTACATGACTCTAGATTAGGAAAATTTAAGTTCTTTAATACTCAAAATTCAGGGTTGCTTGCAACAAATGTATCTATGGGAGCAATTATTTGTGTGGGATCTCTTTTCCAAGGAGTTTTCATGCAAGCCAAAAGTTTTCTTGCGAGCAAGCAGTTCGGGAAATTGGGAAGAAGTGAGGGAGAGAGATTGTAGCAATTCACGACACAGTGCAAATCAGGAAGGATATGGGCAAGCAGATCGCGTCTGAAGGGAATTTTGTGAAGACTGAAGCAGATTGCGGGTGAGACACTGTTGTAAGGCTCGGCACAGTGCATTCTGAGTGAGAAACAGAAGTCTTGGAGTGGGACTTGGAAGTGGATATTGTAAGACCTGTGAGTTCTGCGTGAGTAGGCATAACAGGGAATAGAAGTTTAATTCAAAAATTGCTTAGAACAACAGGTATTGAAGCAAGATCTATATTCGATAGAGGCAATGACAGAGAAAGGGTGTAGAAAATAAAAAAAATAAATTGAAGGAAGAATAAATTGAGGGAAGAAGAAAGATGATTCATCGACTATATGCAGAAAGGGGTTTACGAGGTAACTTACAAACGAAGAAGAATTCGAGGTGGAGAATTTGGGAAAACGGTTCATGAAGAGGTAAGTTATGTAAATTCTAATTTACAAAAGCAAGAATTATTAATTCTATAAACATAGAATGTCACTTGACTTATTTGAAGAGATAATTGCATTAAAAAGATTTCAATTAGTGAAAATGAGCATATATTTAAGTATTCATGTACAAGTAACTGCATATCTATATTAATAAGCGGAGTTTGAAATAAGATCAAGTATTATTATTTAAAACTTTTCTTAGTTGGTAATATTATGAAAAGAGGTTCAATTCTTTATTTATTGTAGACAAATTCATTTTAAGCAAACAATATAACAGAGAGATTATTATGGAAGTATGCAATAATACAAATCATTTATGAATTATGAATAATTAAAGTCTACTAAATATCAAATTAGATAAGGTTGGCTATAAATTGATATGATATATGCATAGCAGGTGGGGCAAAAGGGACCATAATAATATGATACATATATAGTAGGTGGGGCAAAAGAGATCCCAGAGATATGATACATGTATAGAATGTTGGACAAAAAGGATCCCTAAAGAGACAAAAAGGATCTCTATGTAGTTTAATGACGATAATGTCAGGTTTAGCTGGGCTCTATTGAATATTATTATGAAAGTTAATTATATGAAAATGATAGCCAATACTAAGAAGACTAATTATGATATTATGTACAGACTTCAAATGAATGAAAGAATGATTCTAAATATGATTTTATGTTATTTTGCAAATAATAATAAGTTTGATTCAGTTATGATTTCAATATTGTTATTTCTATAATCTTGCATTTAAATTGTTATTTCATTTGTATAACTTTATGAGCTCATATCTCACTAGTTTTTTATATACTCATTGTTATTATAGAGAAGAAAAAAGAGAAAATTAAGACTGATTAGGCAAGTGTTGAAAATTTTAGATTTTCTGTTTAGAAGTGTTTGCGATGTCTTCTTATGAGGTATGTAAGCTGTCTAAGTATGATGAAACATTTTGATTTTCGTAGTGCATATGAAGTATTTGTCTGATGTAATTTGAATTATTAGATGCTTTCATTTATTCAGTAAATGTAATTGTCAGTGGATGTTTTTATATGAGCTTGCAAATGTGTGAAATATTAAATGAAAAGAATGAATGTTTATTTAGTTTTGTGGCACTCTACGTTATTGGTAAGAGATATCATGGGGTGTTACATGTTCCTTTTGGAATAAAATTCCCCCTATAATGTTTTTTTGTGCTAATATGCTTCTCAATAAAATTTGACCAAATTTCCCTTAAATGCATTATAAGAGATAAAGTCGACTTAGTTTGAACCACGTTAGAATTAAATTTGAAACTTATTTGAACTAAGGTTGAACTAGGTTCAAACAAGGTTCGAGCATTTAGAGAACCTGAGTTGGCCCTTGTTTAAATCTAATTTGAGACTTCTTCAAAGATCTTAATTTGAGACTTCTTCAAATATCTGCGAGCTTTGTCGTGATTGCCCACTTTTAAATGCGTTGGAGGTATATGATGGAGAAGGAGGTTAGGACCATACTGAGGCAGATCAATGAACCATATTGGACCATATCATACTGATGAGGACATCAGATTTCGACATGTGTACTGTCGTCGTAGCCGGAGATCGACGGCTATGATCCAGAGTCTTTACTTTTGATATATCTTGTATTTTATTTGTTCTTGCATTTTTCTATTTTTCCTAGTTTACCCCTGTGGGTATTGAGTCGCTATTGTAGCCCCGAGGGCATTTATGTCTTTCTAGTTTTCTTTCATTTTGGCATATTTATCGGAGGCCTATGACATTATAATTGATGATGAATATTGATATGAAATTTTAGCTTTTGTTTTGGATCTCTGTGTGAGTTCTAGAGAGACTGGTGAAGCCTTGGAGAGGCTCAATCGAAGTACCCAATAGCCCCTACGGGTGAGCTCTTGGTTTCCCTCTTTCTCTTCTTCTTCCCTCCCCCCAATTTCCACCACCCGAGCTCCCCTCCTTCCTCCCTACCTGACGGGCCGCCACCACCTCCCCTCCTTACATCCCCACCACCACCAAGCCCCACCCCAGCCCGTCGGCCTCCTTGGCCACCCCACCCATCGGCCAACCACCAAGCCGCCGGCCGGAATCCACCCTGCCCCCACCGTAACCAAGCCACCCGCCGACCTCCCTCTTGCTCACATAATTTGAAAATTCAAATTCAATTGCCTTGATTTCCTCTCCTAAATTTCCTCCTAGCAATTAAGAAAGTTTCCTTATTGAAAATTCAATTAATTTAATTGGATTCAAAATCTTTCCTATTGCTAGAAACTATTTAGGAAACTTACTAATTAGATTAAATATGAAGTTAAATTCAGATTTGATTTAATCTTTGTTTATTCCCTCCCTTGTGGGCCCACCTAATTAACACAAATCCCCTCACTCCTCCCTCTATATGGCCGACCCCCTTTAATGTCTCTCTCTCTCTCTCTCTCTCTCTCTCTCTCTCTCTCTCCAATTTTCATTAATTGCTCTCAATCAAGACTCTATAATTACCTCCAATAACTCCTCATCTCCCATTAATCCTTTTATTTGAATTTGAATTCAAATTCAAATCCTTCCCTTGCGAGCGCAGGAGCGAGGCTGCGAGTGAGAGCATTAGCTAGGCAAGCGTGCGCAGGACCGCTAGTACGAGACTACGAGCGCGGGGGCAAAGGAAGGGAAAGCGAGACACAGTGGTGAGCGTAGGGCGAGGTTTCGATGTGGTGCGGGACGGGGGCCTAGTTAATTTTGGGTTGTTTTTGGGTTTTTGGGTTGGGCCAAACCTGACCCGAATTTGCATTTGGGTTAGGATTTGAAACCCAAACCCATTTCATTTCCCAAACGGGTTAACTCGAACCCAAAATTTTCAGGCCGAGTTCGGGTCAAATTTTTGGATCATGTCAAATATTGGGGAAATTATTCGGTCCAGACACTCGAACTAAAAATAAGTCCGGATATCCACTTAAAATTGGGGAGATTTTCTTCAACCCATGGAAATCCAATAATTCCTAAAACAATCTTTATTTTGTGGACCAGTCTAGGGGTTCAAACGAGTCGAGTCGAGCTCGAGCCAGGGGTTGTTCGAGTCGAGCTCGACTGCCAGATACCGAGCTCGAGCTCGAGCTCGAACTCTAGTCGAGCTCAAAATCGGAGCTCGAGCTCGACTCGTCTCATAACGAGCGGCGAGTTCAAAATCGAGCAACTCATGCCGAGTTCCGCCGTCGTCACGTACGCTGCCATCCTGAGGTCCGTCCATGGCCGCGTTCGTTTAGAGCTTCGCCATCCAGATCCGAGCTCCGCCATTATCGTCATCCTGAGCTCGTTCCTCGTCATCCTGAGCACAGCCGTCGAGATTAGTCCGTCCGAGTTGTCGTTGCCGTGTTCGTTCAAGCTTCACCGTCGAGATTCGTCCGTCCGAGTTGCGTCGCGGTCGCCGTGTTCGTTCAAGCTTTCACAATTTTCGTCATCCCAAGTTTGTTCGTCCGTCATCGTCTCAAGCGGAGCTCGAATCTCGACGGTGTTGAGACCCATCCGCTTGAGTTTGCCCCTTATTCATCGCTATCCAGATCCGAGCATCGGCTGTTGAGATCCGTCTAGTGTCCACTGTCCACTGTCAAGCTCCGTCGTTGTCGTCGCTTGTCCGTCCGCCTAAGATTTGGATTTCCCGCTTCCGTCAACTAGCTGCTCGTCGAGCCGACGAGTCAAGTTCGGCGTATGTTCAAACCCGATTGGGAATACGACGAAACGGTGGAAAGATACGTCAAACGAATCATCTACTGCCTCGCTGAGCCGATCGAACTCCAACAACCCCGAGCACCGTGGGTTCTCATCGGACGACCACCTGCTCCTCCAAC